TTCATTTCTCTGTTAATCCCTTTTATAAGTTTAAATTAATCTCTAAACTTTCCATTTTTACTTGTCCTTGAATAATTACGCGGGTTCGCATGTTGATCACACTCTATTTGTGTTATCCTCGTTACTGTTACGATACATACATTTTCAATCACAACCTAAATTTAAATAAACCAATTTAATCTTCAAAATTAACAGAATAGATTGACATTTATTAGTAAACGTTCATGAACGTGAATCGCTTATTTGAAATGCTTATGTTAATAAACGTTTTTTACTCTAATTTAATACGAATAAAATAAAATTAAATAATGAATATTCACAAACCTGAATCGTTTATTTTAAATATTTTTGAATTAACAAATGCTTATGCTTTGCCTGAAGTTCAATCAAACATTTTTTGATCTAAGTATAATAATTTACTACTGTATTTTTTTTAAAAATTGAGGTGCTGTAGTTATCTGATTTTCATCATGGAAAACGTGTGCATTATAACGAAGACAACATGAACAAAGTACAGTAAGACATATGATCCCAACATGTTCAAGAATTGATAAATAGAAATATAGAGATTAGCGAAATTAACGATTATCCGCTGAAAGAGTCATAGAGATTAGTGAGATCAACGATTATCCTATGAAAGAGTCATAGAAATTCGTTGATTTTTTGATCTATCCGTGATAATTAACCTATTAAATTACGTATTTTTAAAAGAATCATTTTTTAACACAAAAAAACACACATAAATACACAAAAGAATTCGTTAATCTCACATATGTAAATATTAAATACACGCAAAGTGGATAAAGTGGTATTTATGAATCAAAACTTATTGAAACTGTCAAAATTTAATAACTTAAATACACTGCGAGAACCAAACATATTCTAAATTATCCATTCAAAGTAAAAGTAGGATATAAAAGTCTATTTAGATCTAATGTAACAAAGCATTCTTGAACGAAAATGATTTCATTCACCTCACTATATAATATAATCAATAAATGGCAAGTATATAGTATTTGTCTTTTAAGCACTTTTTTTGATTCTTTGGCATAGTGAAATTTAACGTTTTACTGAACTATAAACGATGTTTGCAATGATTTTCGCTTAAGGACTAACGACGTTAAAAATCCAGATCTCTCATCACTGCCAACCAACCTGAAACCTAAAATAGTCTTATTTGTTAGTAGTTGTTTGGTCTTAATTCATGTTAAATTCAGACGAAACTTTTCTTACCTAGGCTAGAAGGTTGTTGCTAACATTTTAAATAAATTATGAAATTAACGATACAATTGCAATGACTTTCTATTATTAGAACGTTGAGTTCTAAAAAATTACTTTATAAAATGTTAAATAAGTTATCCAATTCGGCGGATTTTTGGAATTTGGCCTTTATCAAAAAAAAAAAAAACCTAATTATTTTTAAAGTTTTGGTTAATAGTTATATAAAGTACGATTCGTATTAATCGGAACTTGTATTTAAAACCCCAAATCTACTAAAAGAGTAGACATAGATGGGGATTTAATGAAGGCCAAATTCCTGTATCTGTGATTTACTTATTTCCCACTGATACAAACATGTGAAATAATAAAATTCTATTTGCCGTAAATTTGCTTTAACTTTAGGGTCATTTTAGGATTTTTTAAAGCCTAGCAGATTACGTACATACGTACGTACGTACGTATGTACCAATTTTCTTCGACAATCAACTCCTTAAATCAGTTGGATTGAGATGTTGCATATGGGTAATTATTTTTGGACATGAACCAAAAGTTTTACGGTACTGTAGTATATTTAAGTTATTTAATGATGTGTGATATGATTTGTGATCCGTGTATTTGTAATCAGTAATAGTAATAAACATGACCGGTCAAATGACCAGTCCGTCACTATTAGGATGGGTTTGGTCCGGTCAATTGACTTGACGGTTTAGGTGAGTTATCCATTCGACACTACCTAATCTATTCCTTTTGTTTTGCACTATGGGTGTGACCGATCATGGGTATGACAAATAAACATTTACTATAAAGCACATATAGTAAATGCTTATTTGTCATACCCATGATTGATCACACCCCTAGTGCAAAATGAAAGGGGTCACCTATGCCGTTCTAGTATCGCCCATAAAAAAATTTACATATAAGAGCCCGAAAAATGAAAATAATTACAAGTAAGGGCAGAAAGTGAAAATAAGGAAATACAATCTTATATTGATTTTCGTATTCAGCAAAGCGGAAATCCAGGAATTTTTTTTACTGCTATTATCATAATTCCTGGAACGCCTGATAAAAATTAGCCGAATGATTTTTCGGCTATTCGACTAAGTTAGTGATTTCGGCATACGTTCATTTATTCTTTTCGGTGCGATTATCACATGCGCATTGTAACACCTTTTAATGATGCTCTAAATAAATGTTTAAAACCAAGTTAACACTTTTAGGCTTTTAATAATCAAAAATTTTCGTTTTCCCCTGTAAAGACTTTCTAGCTTAAATATTTTTTCTGCATTAATTCCTCCTGGTTTCTTGCAAAATTACATGTATGTTCAAATAACTGCATTTTGTTTTTTACTCCAAGATAACAAATATCTGGGACATCGAATGACACAATTTATTGTACTAACTTATATTTACAATTATGTTTGTACAGTTTCAACTATTTAAATTATACACACACGTTAGAAGGTCTTTTTCTTTTCTCTTTGTTAATTTACTACACAGGGCCATTTGGGCTTCATTTATAATTTTAGCATTCCATATAAACGGTAAAATGCTGGGTGCATTATTTTTAGAAAATAATTTATATAGTAAATTTTTATATTGAGAAAATTTACTTGATTGCTCAAATTTTTACGCGTTAAACTTTTATTATTTTCAACAATTATAAATACTTTGTGAACATTTAATGCAAGACCTTTGTGAACATTTAATGCAAGACTAATTTTATCCTGAAACCATTTTTTTCTCAAAATTTTAGTTGGACTATTAAAATTAATTTTATTATTTTAGCAAAAATATATGCAAATATTTAGTGATACTTAATAACTCGAAGGTTTTCAATCAATCGGTGGGAAATTAAAAAATTTGTGAATAATAATAATGCACCTTTATTATCATAAAGACTGGAAATTGTTCAGTTTTAATGAACTAAATAATTAGATATAGCAAGCATTGTAATAATATTCCGTTATCAATTATGTTATAATATAATGTTTTTAGGAATATTATATTCATAACACCCGCGTTATATAACACCTATATACGTATAGTTTTAATTAGAGTTAGGAGTTTTTTATTATATTAGATATAAGGTTCTAATAGGTCCCGATTTTAGTTCCCATGAGGTTTTCAAGGGCGCTGAACATTTTTACTTAGAGTATCTACACCTATTTACTTAGTACGTTTCTGAGATATAGCTATATAACACGGCGTTATGAATATAACTTCCCATGCTTTTAATTAAATTAATTTTAAATTATAAACCCTAAATATTTATATTTTGTCCTAAAAGGTATATGAAGATGATTCACTGTATTCACAATTACAAGTTTAAATTTTAAAATCTGTTTATTCAAAACTTGAAATACTTAAATTCATCAATTAAAAAATTTATAATATCATTACTAAGCCGTTTTTCGTAATTTTGAATCATGTCCATAACTTGTTTATTAATAATTTACCAAAATTGATTTTTAGTAATAAAATTTCTTAGTAATCCAAGACAAATGCAATTGAATTAATCAAATTACATTTTTTTGAAAACGTGCTTTACCGTTACAATGCTAGAATACTAGATTATGAGTTAGGAAGTTGATTTAACATCATTAGTAAAACTTTGATCCTAGTGTAAAAATACAAGGCTTCTTTAAAATTAAAAGTTTAGAAAAGTTATACTTAATGCAAAATTGATATAAAATCGGCTCAAATGCTTCTGCTAATTTCAATTCAATTCAAAATTTATAAAACTCCTTTTGTATAATAATTAGCATTTGAATTATAATATTATAGAAAGTATAAATAAATGTCTCTTCAGAAAATTATAAAGTAATCCCATTTTTTATGCAAAAATTAATGGAAGCTTCCAAATTGCCATCTACAGCTCTTCTAAGCCAATATTCCCCTTTATTTTTGTCGGCATCAATATACTTACCATTATAATATAACAATCCTAAATTATGCATCGCAACTGTATAATTTTGTTCAGCTGCTTTTTCAAAATATTTTATCGCCGTGTATGGATCTTTTTTATAAATACATGAAGCGTACATAGATTGTGCATCCAGAATATTTGCACCATCAGCAGCTTCTTTAAATGCATCAGCAGCAAGCTGCATTCTTTCATCATCAGAGTATGGAAAATTAATTAATTTATGAAAAAGATAATATCCTTTCCAATATTTTGCAGTAAAATCATTATGCATTTCTGAATATTTAGCAATTGTTTTCCAAGCTCTTTCTTTAGAATCTTTAGAACCACTTTTGAGATTTGTAAGCTCAACTGCTTCTTCAAATGATAACATCGGTAGATCACTATCTGATTCTGACACATTGAGAACGGTTGTATTAATCGATCTATTTATGATTCTAATTTTCCAAAGTATTTCATTCATTTCTGGACGGTCTCTGGCTTTGTATTGAGTAGCTTAGAAAAATTATATATAGGTTAATAACATTGCAAAATATGCCCAAATTAAAATTAAATTAACAGTACCTTCATAGACGAGACTTTTCCATTGTTCTGGTACATCATTATTTGAAAATTTTAGATTCATCTCTCTGTCTAATATTAATTGACTTATTGCGAGTACAGAAAGCCCAGTGTCAGAATCAGATAGTGATCTACCGATGTTATCATTTGAAGAAGCAGTTGAGCTTACAAATCTCAAAAGTGGTTCTAAAGATTCTAAAGAAAGAGCTTGGAAAACAATTGCTAAATATTCAGAAATGCATAATGATTTTACTGCAAAATATTGGAAAGGATATTATCTTTTTCATAAATTAATTAATTTTCCATACTCTGATGATGAAAGAATGCAGCTTGCTGCTGATGCATTTAAAGAAGCTGCTGATGGTGCAAATATTCTGGATGCACAATCTATGTACGCTTCATGTATTTATAAAAAAGATCCATACACGGCGATAAAATATTTTGAAAAAGCAGCTGAACAAAATTATACAGTTGCGATGCATAATTTAGGATTGTTATATTATAATGGTAAGTATATTGATGCCGACAAAAATAAAGGGGAATATTGGCTTAGAAGAGCTGTAGATGGCAATTTGGAAGCTTCCATTAATTTTTGCATAAAAAATGGGATTACTTTATAATTTTCTGAAGAGACATTTATTTATACTTTCTATAATATTATAATTCAAATGCTAATTATTATACAAAAGGAGTTTTATAAATTTTGAATTGAATTGAAATTAGCAGAAGCATTTGAGCCGATTTTATATCAATTTTGCATTAAGTATAACTTTTCTAAACTTTTAATTTTAAAGAAGCCTTGTATTTTTACACTAGGATCAAAGTTTTACTAATGATGTTAAATCAACTTCCTAACTCATAATCTAGTATTCTAGCATTGTAACGGTAAAGCACGTTTTCAAAAAAATGTAATTTGATTAATTCAATTGCATTTGTCTTGGATTACTAAGAAATTTTATTACTAAAAATCAATTTTGGTAAATTATTAATAAACAAGTTATGGACATGATTCAAAATTACGAAAAACGGCTTAGTAATGATATTATAAATTTTTTAATTGATGAATTTAAGTATTTCAAGTTTTGAATAAACAGATTTTAAAATTTAAACTTGTAATTGTGAATACAGTGAATCATCTTCATATACCTTTTAGGACAAAATATAAATATTTAGGGTTTATAATTTAAAATTAATTTAATTAAAAGCATGGGAAGTTATATTCATAACGCCGTGTTATATAGCTATATCTCAGAAACGTACTAAGTAAATAGGTGTAGATACTCTAAGTAAAAATGTTCAGCGCCCTTGAAAACCTCATGGGAACTAAAATCGGGACCTATTAGAACCTTATATCTAATATAATAAAAAACTCCTAACTCTAATTAAAACTATACGTATATAGGTGTTATATAACGCGGGTGTTATGAATATAATATTCCTAAAAACATTATATTATAACATAATTGATAACGGAATATTATTACAATGCTTGCTATATCTAATTATTTAGTTCATTAAAACTGAACAATTTCCAGTCTTTATGATAATAAAGGTGCATTATTATTATTCACAAATTTTTTAATTTCCCACCGATTGATTGAAAACCTTCGAGTTATTAAGTATCACTAAATATTTGCATATATTTTTGCTAAAATAATAAAATTAATTTTAATAGTCCAACTAAAATTTTGAGAAAAAAATGGTTTCAGGATAAAATTAGTCTTGCATTAAATGTTCACAAAGGTCTTGCATTAAATGTTCACAAAGTATTTATAATTGTTGAAAATAATAAAAGTTTAACGCGTAAAAATTTGAGCAATCAAGTAAATTTTCTCAATATAAAAATTTACTATATAAATTATTTTCTAAAAATAATGCACCCAGCATTTTACCGTTTATATGGAATGCTAAAATTATAAATGAAGCCCAAATGGCCCTGTGTAGTAAATTAACAAAGAGAAAAGAAAAAGACCTTCTAACGTGTGTGTATAATTTAAATAGTTGAAACTGTACAAACATAATTGTAAATATAAGTTAGTACAATAAATTGTGTCATTCGATGTCCCAGATATTTGTTATCTTGGAGTAAAAAACAAAATGCAGTTATTTGAACATACATGTAATTTTGCAAGAAACCAGGAGGAATTAATGCAGAAAAAATATTTAAGCTAGAAAGTCTTTACAGGGGAAAACGAAAATTTTTGATTATTAAAAGCCTAAAAGTGTTAACTTGGTTTTAAACATTTATTTAGAGCATCATTAAAAGGTGTTACAATGCGCATGTGATAATCGCACCGAAAAGAATAAATGAACGTATGCCGAAATCACTAACTTAGTCGAATAGCCGAAAAATCATTCGGCTAATTTTTATCAGGCGTTCCAGGAATTATGATAATAGCAGTAAAAAAAATTCCTGGATTTCCGCTTTGCTGAATACGAAAATCAATATAAGATTGTATTTCCTTATTTTCACTTTCTGCCCTTACTTGTAATTATTTTCATTTTTCGGGCTCTTATATGTAAATTTTTTTATGGGCGATACTAGAACGGCATAGGTGACCCCTTTCATTTTGCACTAGGGGTGTGATCAATCATGGGTATGACAAATAAGCATTTACTATATGTGCTTTATAGTAAATGTTTATTTGTCATACCCATGATCGGTCACACCCATAGTGCAAAACAAAAGGAATAGATTAGGTAGTGTCGAATGGATAACTCACCTAAACCGTCAAGTCAATTGACCGGACCAAACCCATCCTAATAGTGACGGACTGGTCATTTGACCGGTCATGTTTATTACTATTACTGATTACAAATACACGGATCACAAATCATATCACACATCATTAAATAACTTAAATATACTACAGTACCGTAAAACTTTTGGTTCATGTCCAAAAATAATTACCCATATGCAACATCTCAATCCAACTGATTTAAGGAGTTGATTGTCGAAGAAAATTGGTACATACGTACGTACGTACGTATGTACGTAATCTGCTAGGCTTTAAAAAATCCTAAAATGACCCTAAAGTTAAAGCAAATTTACGGCAAATAGAATTTTATTATTTCACATGTTTGTATCAGTGGGAAATAAGTAAATCACAGATACAGGAATTTGGCCTTCATTAAATCCCCATCTATGTCTACTCTTTTAGTAGATTTGGGGTTTTAAATACAAGTTCCGATTAATACGAATCGTACTTTATATAACTATTAACCAAAACTTTAAAAATAATTAGGTTTTTTTTTTTTTTGATAAAGGCCAAATTCCAAAAATCCGCCGAATTGGATAACTTATTTAACATTTTATAAAGTAATTTTTTAGAACTCAACGTTCTAATAATAGAAAGTCATTGCAATTGTATCGTTAATTTCATAATTTATTTAAAATGTTAGCAACAACCTTCTAGCCTAGGTAAGAAAAGTTTCGTCTGAATTTAACATGAATTAAGACCAAACAACTACTAACAAATAAGACTATTTTAGGTTTCAGGTTGGTTGGCAGTGATGAGAGATCTGGATTTTTAACGTCGTTAGTCCTTAAGCGAAAATCATTGCAAACATCGTTTATAGTTCAGTAAAACGTTAAATTTCACTATGCCAAAGAATCAAAAAAAGTGCTTAAAAGACAAATACTATATACTTGCCATTTATTGATTATATTATATAGTGAGGTGAATGAAATCATTTTCGTTCAAGAATGCTTTGTTACATTAGATCTAAATAGACTTTTATATCCTACTTTTACTTTGAATGGATAATTTAGAATATGTTTGGTTCTCGCAGTGTATTTAAGTTATTAAATTTTGACAGTTTCAATAAGTTTTGATTCATAAATACCACTTTATCCACTTTGCGTGTATTTAATATTTACATATGTGAGATTAACGAATTCTTTTGTGTATTTATGTGTGTTTTTTTGTGTTAAAAAATGATTCTTTTAAAAATACGTAATTTAATAGGTTAATTATCACGGATAGATCAAAAAATCAACGAATTTCTATGACTCTTTCATAGGATAATCGTTGATCTCACTAATCTCTATGACTCTTTCAGCGGATAATCGTTAATTTCGCTAATCTCTATATTTCTATTTATCAATTCTTGAACATGTTGGGATCATATGTCTTACTGTACTTTGTTCATGTTGTCTTCGTTATAATGCACACGTTTTCCATGATGAAAATCAGATAACTACAGCACCTCAATTTTTAAAAAAAATACAGTAGTAAATTATTATACTTAGATCAAAAAATGTTTGATTGAACTTCAGGCAAAGCATAAGCATTTGTTAATTCAAAAATATTTAAAATAAACGATTCAGGTTTGTGAATATTCATTATTTAATTTTATTTTATTCGTATTAAATTAGAGTAAAAAACGTTTATTAACATAAGCATTTCAAATAAGCGATTCACGTTCATGAACGTTTACTAATAAATGTCAATCTATTCTGTTAATTTTGAAGATTAAATTGGTTTATTTAAATTTAGGTTGTGATTGAAAATGTATGTATCGTAACAGTAACGAGGATAACACAAATAGAGTGTGATCAACATGCGAACCCGCGTAATTATTCAAGGACAAGTAAAAATGGAAAGTTTAGAGATTAATTTAAACTTATAAAAGGGATTAACAGAGAAATGAA